ATGCCTCCTGCCTGGCAAACCCCAGGACCTGACCCCCTCCCCGGCACCCCCAGCTGCTCCCTGCCTCCCCGCTTGGTACTACCAAGCTCTGTGCCTTGCCCCCTTTACCCGGGACCTGGCGCGTGGCCTCTTGCGGTCTCCTGACCCCCAACCAGTCTCCTCCACCCACCTCCCCATGGGCTCACATGCTCCTCCCAGCTCCCCCCTCTCCAAGCAGGGGACTGAGCCCTGTCCTCGCTATCAGGCCCCTGCCTCACCTGCCCCCCACACCCAGCCCAGTCGGCTGCCACGGGCACCGCTCTCCTCCTGCCCCCCTCAATGACCCCCAGTGCCCCCCGGCTGCCCCCAGCCCGCCCGCACCCCTCACCTGTGGTACTGCGCCTGCAGAAACTGGAATTCCTCCTTGATCCGGTCGCAGATCTCCAGGATGGAGAACTTGAAGGGCTGCCCGGACTGGAGCGGGGTCTGGGGAGTGGAGCACAGGGGGCATGAGCGTGATGCCCCGTGCATCGGGGACCTGCCCCTGCCCTGCGCCTGGATCGGAGCCCGGCGCCCCCCTACCCCTGCCCATGCCCCCCCGCAGCCGGTGGCGGGGCTGGTACTTACAGGGTGCCGTCCTTGCGGGTACATCCTGAGCTGCTGGCCCCAAACGGCTACCAGCCAGGGGAAGGGGGCGGCCCCCGCTAGCCCCCCCAGGACCCCTGCACTTGAACTTCTCCAACAGCCGCCGTAGGAGCAGGAGGGCAGCCAAAGCCCAGGATGAGCCGGGCGGGCACGAGGCTTCCTCTGACCAGGCTTTTTTTTTTTTTATCTTAAATGCAAGGATTTTGGGGGTGCCGGAGCGGAGATCTCCGCCGGGAGAGAGGGGAGCAGGACTCCCTCCCCAGCGGGTCGTGAGCGGCCCATCGGACACGGGGCTGGGGGGAAATCTAATCGGCCTTAAAGCATGGGGTGGGGGGGACAAAAAAACCCAGCAGGAACAGAAGGTCAGGCGAAAATCTGGCCGGATTTCAGCAGCGGTCCCTCGCTGGAATAAAAACTACCTCCTGGCAAGGCAGAGAAAGCAGGGGAGCCGGGCGAAGCGCGCCTTAAGGTGGCTCTGGCCCTCCAGGAGAGGCCTTGGCCACGGCGCTGGGAGAGCTGGGGCACCCGCCGGGCACCAGCTCCCGCAGGCAGCGGTGCCTTCGGCCAGACCCACAATTTGCCGCCCCCCAGCTCCAGCCGCTTTGGTGTCGCCTGCCTGCTCTGATGCCTCCCCCGGCCTCCCAGCCACTCTGGTGCCCCCTCCCCAGCCACTGGGCCACGGTGGCGCCCCCCCCCCAGCCACTTCAGTGCCCCGTGAGTGCACTGGTGCCCCCCAGTTGCTCTGAAGCCCCCCGGCACCGTAGGGGGGACGGGGGGAAGCCAGGAGAGCAGAGCGGCCTCCAGCCCCCGGCTTCCTTCTCCCGAACCCTGGCTGGAAACCAGCCCTCCCTCCACCCCTGGCATCATCTGGGCATCGTCCACGCAGGATGATGCCCGGATCAGGGTCTGGCATCTCGGGCGGCCGAGGGGGCTGAGCACAGGGCACAAAGCGCCCCAAGAGAAAGGGCTAGAGAGGCTGCGACTAGGGCAGCGAGCAGCAAATGCCCCGAGCAAGCTGCTCTCCTGCCCCGGGCACTGCAGCGCCTCCTGCTGGACCAAGGCTGGCGGGACGACTCGCTCTGCCCCACGCCTCGCCTTCACGCCAGCCCCCAGGCCTAGGCCAGTGGTGCCAGGGGACCAGCGCTGTGCTGGCCACCAAGGCAGGATGCTCGGGCCGGCAGGTGACCCAGGAGGACACCCGCGCCCTGGGCTGCCCAGGTCCACCTTAAAGAGCTTTGCAGCCTCGGCTACTGTGGACGCCTGCCGTGGGCTGGGAGCGCCAACCAATGCGCCTTCCCAGTTCCCACATGGGTCCATGATGTCAAAGCTTTCGGAGGCTAATCAGGAGGAGAAGCAGGGGGGAGCCGGGGTGGGGCAGTGGCAGGCTGGGACTTGTGGTTTCCCAGCCCCATCTCAGCTGGGGCAGCACCTGGGGCAAGGGTGCCAGGCCTGGGCAACTCTGGGGGTGCATCCCACCAGATACCCCCATGCCCCCGCGTGGCGAGAGCATCCTCGGCCTTGGGCATGGCTGTGCCTGGTGCCACCGCCCCATGCCGCCTCCGGCCTTTTGGCACGAGAGCGGTCGGAGACCAGGCCCCACCCTGCCAGGTGCGGGGCACAGGTGCTACGAAGCAGCGAGGCCGCTTGGAGCATGTCGGTTCTGTGCCTCGGTTTCCCCCCCTTCCAGGGTAGCCTGCAGCTCAGGCTCCTTTTGCAAAGAGCCCCATGCCTAGGACTGCTCCAGGGAGCTGGGAGCGAAGGCGGCTGGTCCCTAGGGCTCTGCCCCCGGACGCTGAGAGTAGCAGGGCACCGCTGGCACCGGACGAGTGCACGAAGCACCCCGTCTTGCCCCCCAGCACAGCTGGCCCGGACTACAGCCCCCAGCAGCCTCCGCGCTGCAGCTCCCCACCGCTGTCAATCAAAGTAACGTGGGGCCCAGCTCCCTCCACCGCCCGCCCGAAGTGGCTGGCTGGTATAATTACAGCACATTGATCTAACGGAGGCAAGGCTTTCCTGCTGGCCATGACTCAGGCTGTGCAGAGAGCAGCACATCCCTTTAACACCAAGCACAGCGGCACCTTCCATCACAATAGGACACCCCCCCCCAGCTGCCTGCCCACTGGGCTGCAGGCAAGACAGTAAAGCACTCTTCCCTCTGCATCTCCCACCAGTCCTGGGACAGGGGGACCCTGGGATTCCCCATCCGAGTGCGGTCTCACTTTGTCCCCCGGCTCCCAGCCTTAAAAACCAAGCCTAGCAGCCTCTGGCCCTTCCAGATCCCCGAGCTGCTGGAAGCATTCGTGCAGCACCTAGCGCGGTGGGCCGGCCAGGCCCCGAGCCTTGAGGCGCTACCCGTAATTCATAACGAAGCAGTCGTCCAGGCAGGCGCTTGCCCACGCTGTCGTGTTCCACCCCAGAAGTGGCTGCAGATGCATCCCCCGGGGACTGCCTTATCACCCAGCAGGGTTCGGATAGAAGGGACGTCGCTGGTTGGGGACCGCGCAATACCAGGCCGGGCCTGCCCATTCTCAGGCCAGTTTCTTGGGGGCAATGCCCATATTAGCCCCCTTCTCCATAGCCTCTGCTTGACTGAGCAAAACTGGGTTCTCATGCCCCTGGGGCAGGACTCAATGATCCTCCGGGGTCCCTTCCAGCCCCATTGTCTAAGAGTCAATGAAAATGCCAGTGGATGGAAGCAGGCACTGGGGGGTCATGGCCTTCCTGATCTCTCTGGAGAGATTCGCACCCATCTCCGGAGAGACGCTAGGCATTAGCATGTCTGCTTCATGGATGGGGAAACTGAGGCATGGAGCGGTCAGGTCCTGGGGTCACCAGGAGCAGCCCCCACGTCTCCCCGATTCCTGGCCTGGGTAGACGCAGGGGCCCTAGATGGGAAGGGCTGGGAACCCCTGAGCCGCAGGGACTGGATCTACTCACCCCTCGGGTGGGAGGGGATCCACTGGAAAGAGCGATCACGGGCCCAGGAGCCAGGACTCCTGGGTCCTATCCTGGCTCTGCTGCCCGCATCTTGTGGAGGGCCGGCGTGCCTCAGTTCCCCCACCTATGAAAGGGAGCAGGAGGGACCCGTCGCAGGACTAAGCAGCGCCACGGGGCGACGTGCTGCACCATTTCTTTGGGGAAGGAGAGAAGAAATTACAGCGAACCCAAGGCCCAGCAGCTCCTGGGGCTGATTTAATCGGTGATGCAAAATTATCTGCAAACCTATCAGCTGCGGGGAAGGCGGGGGCTCCTCCGGCCCAGATCTCAGGGCACATCCTGCCCTCCGGCTGGTGCCCGGCCAGCCCTTGTCACCCAATTCAAACGGGCATCGGCCCCGCATTTGGGAGCGGAGGAGGTGGCCAGGCCAGGAGCCACCTCAGGCTTCCCGGAGACCCCGCTCCTGTCCCCCCCATCAGCTCTTGGAATAACTGCTGCTCCCCGGGGCAGGGAAACACTCGAATCAATTAAGCTGCAGCCCCCCCGGGAGCCAGGAAGGATTACAGGCCCTGTTTCAGATGGGGTGGGGAAGAGAGATTTGCCCCCCACCCCGCAGCCTGTCGGTGGCAGAGCTAGGACGGGAACCCAGGCATCCGGGCTCCTCTTTAGTCCTCCTCGCTCTAACCACTACACCCTGCTCTCTCCTTCAACCCACAGAGCCCAGGGGCTTCCCTTCCCCGCCCACCCCCAACCCTCCCTGCTCGTCCCCGAGCTGGAAACGGGACCCAGGAGTCCTGGCTCGCAGCCACCCTACTCTCCCTCCTGTACCCTACTCTCCCCCCACCGCTGTAACCATTAGCCCCCAACACCTCCTCTCCCAGACGGATGGACGGACAGCCCCACTCAGCCCTAGCGGAGAGGCTTCCAAGGGTTAATCCCTCCCATCCACCCCTCCATGGACTCCCATCAGCCTTCTGCTCTTTAGGGTTAAACTGGGGTGGGGGGGGGGGGTTGGAAATAACCCTGCTCCTTACATCCTGCAGAAGCCAGCTGTGTCTGGCCCTCCGGCGCGGGCAGCCGCAGGGTTAAATATTTAATGTGTCACATTTCATCCTAATCTTTTATTAATTATGTTATTTACTTGCTGCATGATGTCGCCTGTCAGCAGCACGGTATGGGGTGGGGGGCTAACGTGTAGGATCTGCCTTCCCTCCCCCTCCCCACCTGGCTGGGCCAGAAGGTGCTAGTGTAGACAGGGATGGACATGGGGATCTGCCACGCTGCGTGCCCCACAGCCGAATGGAGATGGGGGGGTCTCTGCTACGGACTGCCTGCGGGGCCTTGGTCAAGTCACTTAGGCTCATCAGGCTGGCAGGTCCCTTGGGAGGGGATGTGGGGGCACATCTAATGCAGCCCTCCGCTCCAGGCAGGCTCATCCCTGAACCAGCCCCATTTTCTCCCCCTGGACTAAAAACATCCAGTGATGGAGATCCCACTCTCCCCAGAGGGATACGCCTCCTTTCCTTCTCCCACCTCCTGCCAGTGCTCTCCAGGCAGGGATCGTCTCCAGCCATGCAGCGCCTTGCACAGAGAGGCTGCACCTCTGATGATATAGCCCCCCACCCTGGCACTATACGATATAGCCCCCAGCCCTGGCAGCTCCTAGCGGAGGGGCGGGCGAGCTCTTTCACACCCCCTGACCCTATTGCCAGGTTCTCTGCAGCCAGCCCCTCTCCTGCCAGCAGCTTGGCAGAGGGTGAATGGGCTGGGGTGGGGGGGAAGCACAGCCTGGCATTAACCCCCTCCCCACTCCCCCCCAGCCCAGTCTGCCTGCTGGGGACATCAGACCAGTCCAGAGCAACAGCCACCCTGCAAAGCAGCTGTGCACAGCTGGGGCACGGGGTCAGGCTGGACCTGCCGTGAGACTTGGATGACTTGGACAGTGGCCCAGACACAGGCCAGCCTGGGGTCTCTGCCCCCTCCAAGCAGGTGGATGCGCCCGGTGAGAACTGTCTGGAATAACCCCCAGCCTGATTCTGGGTTTCAGTTTTTGGGGGGGCAGGGGAAGGCCGGCCTGTCACGAACCATCTCCACTGGAGGGGGGTGGAAACTGCTCTGTGCCTCAGTTTCCCCACTGCTTAACACTCTTCATTCCCCCTCTCCACTAAAGGAAAGGGCCATTGAGGGCATCCTTATGTGTTGCCTCGGAGCCCACCAAAGCATCTCCTTCCACTGGCCCCCCTGCACCCAATGCCCCCCCCCACTCCCCCGGTGGCCAAATCCCCTTTGCTCTTCCCAGCCACTTGCCCACTACCTGCTCAGGAGCTCACTCACACGGAGGAGCCTGCAGAGATGAGACACAGCAGGGGAGGGAAACTGAGGCATGGAGGAAGGACGTGATTTCACCAAGTGACGGAGCTGAAACTGGAACCAAAAGCCTGTCCGCCGCGCCACCCATTCGAGCCCGGGCCATGGACACCAGCTCTGCTCTCTAGCGGCATCGGCAAGTCCCTGGCCCGAGAGGTCCTGAAGCTGCAGGCCCCAGGGTCACTCGCAGGAGATGGAGGCTGGGCTGGGGCACAGGGATGCATCCCCTGCAGCCATAGGGCTGTCACCCAGGCCCACGGGGCTGTGGGAGGGGGGCGTGAGCCCTGAAAGCTGCGCGGGAGCCAGCACCGCATTTCCCAGGCGCTGCCTTCGCTCTGCCCACCAGCTCCCACCGGCACTTACCGGCTCCGAGTGGGGCTTGAATTATTGATGCCTCTTTTAGCTTTTATCCTGCGTCCGCGGCAGCCACCGAGGCCTGGAAGCTCCTGCATTAGTGATGAGCTGGGAGCTGCACCCCCACCGCCACCCCCCACATGCATTACCGAGCTCTCCCGCTTCGCAGGCGGTGCCCGGGTGAAGCCAGCTGGAAGCGATGCTGGGCTGGGGATCAGGAGACACCCCCCCGCAGGCAGCCGCAGCCACGGGCATGGCACGGATCTCGCCAGCTCCGGCATCCCTGGCGCGGGACGGCCCAGCCCACAAAACCCTGGCCCCCTGCCCTGAGGGCTGGCAGAGCCGGGGAGTGAACCCAGGTGGGCTGGCCCTGCCACCCCACCTTGCCAGCAGACTCTGCAAACCAGGGGGCGAGTTTGCCCCTATGCTGCACCCAGGCTTGGGCAGCTGTGGGGTTTGCCCTGCCGGACCCGGTGTAGGGAGCACAAGCAACGGTGGCTCATGGGTAACTTGGGGAGGGGGGTCCTGGGGTCCTGTCCTGGGCACTGGCTTCTTTCCCCTGAAAAGCCACCGTCTACAATCTCCCCTGGCCCGGCTGGAGCAGGCCTGCGATTCCCCCCCTGCCCCCACCAATAGGTTGCACCAAGGACCAGGTTTAAAACCTCCCTGGAGCCCAGCCCCTCGTCCCTTCGGCTAAACGCAGCCCTGTGCAACGCTGCCTGCGCTTCCGAGACCCCGGGTGCTTTTCCCTACGACCGGGAATCAATACAAGCGTCTTTGGCTGAGATTCCCCCCGCCCCCAGGAGCCTGCATCCTCCACCCCAGAGGTGGCTGCACGTCCTTGGGGATGAGGGTGCGGGTTGTGACACTCCCTGGCACTCTGCAAAGGGTCCCGGGGCATCCTGGCTGAGCAGCCTGGACACCCCGGTTTCCATTGCCGGCAGCACCCAAGGGCTCAGGGCACCGCGCTTGCAGAGACTCTCGCTGGGATCACACCAAGGAACCAGCAAGACGAGGCGGGGACCCCACTGGAGTTACGGCCTGCAGCAGCACCTTGCAGAGCAGGTCCATTCCCCCCCGCCCACGGCTGCTCTCGCTCCAGCCGAGGCACCAGCCACGCAGGCGCTCCCTGCCCCGGCAGCCGCTGGACAACATTCTTGCTCATTCAACCCCGAACCAACATGCTGAGGCTGCTAATTGCAGCGCGCACCAGGCCAGGCCGACACCTGCACCCCGCCCTGCGGGGAGCCAGGCTGGGACCACACAGCACCCATTACACCCCCGGTGCGGGCGTCGATACTTCCATCACCCCTGGCCCTCCTGGCTGGACTTGAACCAGGAGCCCGATGGGGCTTAGCACGCAGCCGGCCCCCACGGACGAGGCGCTGAGCAAGCAGACGAGCCTGGAGTCCAGGCTGCAGCAGGACAGCCGGGGCAGCCAACACGCAGGCACGCGGCTCTGGCCAGCGTGGGGGCTGCGGACTGGGACACAGACTGGGCTCTGGGCCTCCCCGGCATCAACCACAGGGAGAATTTCTGCTTGTGTGTCGGGGGCACCTGGAGGCTGAGACTGGCCACATCTCGCTTCACAGAGAAGCTGGGACTAGGTTTGGGGCCAACCGAAGGGAAAAGGGCAGCGAGGGAGTCCTAAGTGGGGTGGGGGCGTATGCAGGAGTCAAGGCAGCAACTGCAGATGCTTCCAGCTGCTCCATCTTGGCAGAGAAAGAGTCCCCAGGGAACCTTCAACCTCTTCCTGCTTGGTCCCAGCATGGTGTCCCCTCCCTCTGGACCCCCAGGGGAAGGCTGGCTCCTGGCCACGCTCCCTGCGTGGTGTGCGCCAGCCCCCAGGAGAATCCGCCTCAGCAGTACGGGGCCTAGGATACATGGCTGGGCATTAGGGATTGCCCCCAGCGGGGGGTGGCACATGCAGCACCCTTCATCCCACCCCATGCCTGGCACCGCTCCTCCGGGGCCAGGCGAGCAGGGGTGGGGGGGTACCGCGAAGGCATCGCTTATGGTCCACGTGTGTTCTGCAGACCCCAGGATTCGAACCCTCCACCCATGCACACACCTGATGGGCACGTGGTCCCTGGGAAATGGCAGGAGGGGGGCACCTATGGGACAGAAATCCCCCACCCCTTCCCTGCACCGCACCCCACTCCTGTGAGCGCAGCTCCAGGGCCTTCATCCATCGGGCCAAGCGGGCAGCCTACCTTTAAGGCCACCAGCCAAGAGCCAACATTGCTCAGGCCTGGGCACAGCTGACCCAATATGCTCCAGGGATTACAGCCCTACCTCCTCTCCAGCCCCCACTGCGTGCACTGAGCCTGGAGCCAGCACCTGTGGCAGGATGATGCTCCAGGAGAGACAAATCCGATCCTCTTAGCCGGGGATGAGCCTGGCGCACGCGGTGGGTTTGCAGGTGCTGGCAGCTCATGGGTCCCTGCAGCCTGCGGGCAGCTCTGCCAAGCCCCAGCCTGGTCATCAGGGCTGGAAGATACTGAGAGCAGAGATGCTGGGCTCTGGACCCTGCTGAAGACCTGGTTGCACGAGCGCCGTCCCAGCCCCAGGGCAACACGGGCCCGATTCCCAGATCAGCCCAGGAACAGCCGCTACCCAGAGCCTCTGTGGGAGGGAAAGGCAGGCTTGAGGTCTCACAAGGCTGGCATCCGTATCCATCAGCCCGTGCCCGGGGCACTGAGGCAGCACAGCAAGTGTCCGGAGAACCGAGCCTTCATTCTCCTGTCCCCACTTCGGTCCTTTGATGCGGGATGACTGAGGCAAGGGGCCTGGTGCCAGAGGGATGCTAGGAGACGGCTTCCCTTAGGGGGGCAGCAGGGGCTGGCAGGGGACATCCCAATGACCTGCAAGCTGAGCCTTGCAGAGGGGCCTGAGGGAGTGAGGACCCCCGAGCCAACGGGGTTAGGGCACCTTGGCTACCGTAAACACCCCAGCCTTAGAGCCACCCCATCAGGGGCTCCAGGACACACAGCTCCCCCGGAGCAGGCCGGACGGGAGGGCTCCATCAAGGGCAGGGACACGGCGCAGAAGGGGAAACTGAGGCACCCAACCCTGACCCTCCCCAAAGAAGAGGCTTGGAGCCACGGGCTTTACCAACCTTCGTATTTCTTTATTTGAAAGGCACAGCTAGTACATCCTCAACACAGCGTCTCCAGCTCCCCCGCGGACGGGGCGCGGGGTCCGGTGACAAAGAGCAAAACAAGATCTCGCTAAAGGACTATGTACAAACACCAGGTCGCGCTCTCTTAGTATTATTATTATTATTATTTCTTTTTTTTTTTTAATTCCATTTTAGTTTCGTAGAAGACAGACCCTAGCGCACGGACAGAAAAACCAGAGAAAGCTGCAGTATCCTTTGGAGAAGGGGCGGGGGTAGGGGGGGGCGGGGAATGGGAGAGGCCTAATCTCTGCTTGTTTCTCCCTCTCCTTCCCCCCTTAAAAAGCCAGGTACTATACAGGTCCCAGCCGGCAGAGACCCCCGTCTCCAGCTCTATGCTGAGCGGCACAAAGCATGGGCGCGCCTGGCACGGAGGGCGCCGGGCTCGAGACTATGCTGCCAGGGCCGGTGGAAACAAAGATATATGCAGGACAGCAAGGTGCAGAACTGGCAGTAGTGCAGGTGGGGCAGGGGGCAT